TGAAGCAGAATTGCACGACGAGAATGAAGTACGAGTTGAAATGAATTAGACAAATTTAATGTCAATTGTAGAGATGGAAAATAGACTCTCTCCTGATCAAAGTGTAACAGATAAAGCTATTGCGTATACGTTATACTTGGAATATGCTCGTGCAAATAATTTTGGGGTCAAAAAATGAAAGACTGTGTATAGCAAAAAGAAGCCAAGATTTTTAATAGGAAAATGGTACAATTGTTCTTGCGAAGGTGAAAATGACGACAAATCTTCAATAGAAAAAGCATCAAACTACAAAAAGAACAGCTTTCGATGTGTATGTAGTGTCAAATTAAAAATTTATCGGGGTAAGGATCAAATTTGAAAGATCACAGTTTTTTACCGTGAACACAACCATAAATTGTATAGCCTCGATGAAGCATATTTAGTGTAATCTCACCATGGATTGAGTTATGAACATAGAACAGTATACAATGCATTGTTGAATGCCGATATACAGCTTGCTAAAGCATATAAATTGATGAAAACAATGCCACAATGAGAGACCAATTTGAAATTCATTCAAAGAGATGCATTTGATGAAGTTGTTAAAGAGAAGAAGAAATAAACAAAAGATTTATGGAGGTGATGCAATTGGATTGGTACAGTACTTTAGAAAAAAAAGTCACTTTATAACTACTTTTTAATTGGAACATGAAGGTGGATGAAAATGATATTACGAAGGTAAATTTATTTTTCAGAGGCTCCACATGATTAATATATTATGCTTGCTTTGGTGATGTCATTTCATTCGACACAACATACAAAACTAATAAGTATAGACTTATGTACGCTCCATTCATCGGAATCAACAATCACAATGAAAATGTCATATTTGAGTTTGCATTTTTAACTGATGAGAGTCAAAGATCATGTGAATGGCTTTTTGGTTTGTTTCTTGAGTCTATGGGGAACAAACAACCGAGGGTTGTGTTTACGGATCAGAGTCAAGCAATCATGAATGCAGTCGACAACAAGTTTCCCCTTGCTCATCATAGAGTGTGTCAATGACATATTAATCAAAATGCTCCATCATATTTTAAAATGTTGAACTCCGACTTAAAGTTTAAAATATTATGGAGAAAGTGCATGAATTTTAGTGAATTTGAAGAAGAATTTGAGGCAACATGGAAAAATATGGTGGTTGATTACGGAATTAATGAAAAGAATTGGTTTAATAAGATGTATAATTTAAGACAAAGATAGTCGTTTGCTTTTAGCCCTGAGGTGTTTAGTGTTGGGCTTATGGGTACATCTCGCAGTGAATGTTCTAATACAACTTTGAAGGCTGAAATTGGAAATAGTACTTCAAAACTGCTACATGTGTTCAAAGTTATGAAAAGGTCTTAAGTTGTTGACAAGCAAAAGAGAAGATAAATGACATTGAACCACGTCCTGAACAACCCCCATTTTTTAATCGTCATAACCCAATACTTAAGTAAGCTGCCATGGTATACACATATAAAAGTTTCAAGTTGTTTGATGCAGAATTGAGAGAAGTATTATCTATTGGATGTATAGAATCACCTCAATATTTGGATGGTAACTTGAGGATTTTTAAGATCATGTCTCTTAATGGTAGTTCGAAGAACTACATCGTGCAACTTTAAAGCAATACAGGTGAAGTTTGGTGCACTTTTCATAAGTTTGAAACTACATGTATATTATACAGATATATTTTGTCGGTATTTACAAATACTAGACAAATTATAATACCCGAAAAATATATTTTGAAGAGATTGACCAAATATGCCAAAAGTGCAATATTCTCTACACCAAGTGACAATGCAACTCAAAATAATAATAGTAGTTTGCTTATTGAGTTGTCATTTTGTCAATACAACAATGAAAAAGTTATATATTCTTACTTTTCATTAGTCAAAACCAATGTACAAGCAAGATTGGTTATATTTGAGGGTATGAAGAACATAAAATGAAAACTACGAGCTTGCTTGGGAAGTATGGATTCAAATAATGCAAATATTTGCAATGATTTGTCTCCCAATGAAATTTAAGTTCTTGTATGTGATCCACAAACTATGAAAAAGAGAGAAACCATGGTCAATATTCATAAACGTCATTGAAATGACAAGAGTTAAACAAAATGAAAGATTGTCACATCAAGTAAGTTAAATTATATGTTATACAATTTTTTTACGTTATATTATATTTATTTGTTATTAAAGTATTTTAATGTTTATTGTTGTTATATAAAAAAAAAATGCTATTTTTTTTTTAAAAAAAAGTCAAAGTATACTAGCATGCAATGATTTTCAATGAAATCCAAGTACACAATTCTTTTTAGGAGAAAATTATGGATCTCAATCCATGTCTTTTGTATGTAACATAAGATCCTTGATTTTATTTCAAATATTTAATTGGCATTATTTGATTTGTATGTTTTGTAATGAAACATTTTATTATTATTTCTTTTTTTTAGTTTTTTACATTGTTTGAACACTATATTATTTAATTTAAAAGTTTTAGTGTTTTGAATACAATAAAAAGTATTATGCAATTAATTTTTATGTGTACATGTATTCTAAAGTAGTGCTTTTATATTAAAAATATTTTTGATATAAATTATGATTAAAAATATAAAAAATATATATTAACTTTTTAATGGAATTTATTTTTTAAAAATTTCCACTAAATTGAATTGATTGAATTATATTTATTTTGTCTCAAAAGAGTTGTATTGTTTTTGTATTTTCATTCATCCCAAAATAATTTCATGTTTTCTTATATAGTAATCGCGGTCTCTACTTACATCAAAATTATTTTTACTTTTTCAAAACTATCCATAATTATTACTTTAACTCACTTTTTAAAATTATTAAAAAAGTAAGGATATTTTAGATATTTATATCCTACTTTTAATTAAATATTATTATTTATTAATTCTCGTGTTCACTCCACCGCTCCACCTCTTTTGGGACGGATGAAGTATTATTTTTAAATTATCCAAAAATTGTATATTTTGAAAGTATTTGATATTTTAAAAATAAAAAATATATATATTTAATAGTATGTAAATGTATGTTTTTGTGTGTTAATATATGTTTAGCAGAGAATGTTAGAAAATAAAAGTACCACACACTATTAAGTTACAAGTAATAATTAATGACAATACCATTTAATAATGGCGGTAAATAAACAATTTTAAGGAAAAAATATATATATAAATTAGTATTTCCTCAGACCCCTAACAGATAACTCATTTTCTTTTTTAATATGTCCCATAAAAGATGATCGTTTTCTATTTTTGGTAACTTTATCAATCTTAAACATACTTAACAAATATAAATCAATTTAATTAAACTTTTAATATCTTAGTATATGACCAACTCAAAACTCCTTTATTTCTATCTCTCTCCTCAATTAACATAATTTTTTATCTATATTTAAAATTCCTCATTTTTTATAAAACTAATTTATGGTAATGATAAATATATTATACAAAATTTTATTATCTACAAAATGATATTTATATTGCATATATTTTTTCGAAATATAATCTTAAAATTTTTTAAAATACCAATAATATTATTCATATAAAAAATAATAAACTAATATTATATTTTATTATTAATAATTTACTAATTTACATTACCTAAAAATTTGTATCCCTAATAAAAAAGTTCATCCATTGCGGGACGAAAGAAGTATTAAAATGCACTGTTATGTAGCAGTGTTTTATTGGCCCTGCTCAGGATCTACTAGAAGAGCAATACTATTACATACTCTCTCTGTCCCACGAGGAATTAACCCTTTTATTAGGGACACAATTTTTTAGATAGTGTAAATTAGTAAGTTATTAATAATAAGTTATGATATTAATTTATTTTTTTTTATATGAATAATATTATTGGTATTTTAGAAATTTTTAAGATTATATCTCAAAAAAATATATGCAATATAGATATTATTTTGTAGATAATAAAATTTTGTATAATACAAATAAATAAAAAAATAAATTATAAATTTTTATTTATTTATCATTACCATAAATTAGTTTTATAAAAAATAAGAAGTTTTAAATATAGATAAAAAAAATTATGTTAATTGAGGAGAGATACAGAAATAAAGAGGTTTTGAGCGGTTCTACGTGTAAAATATTAAAAATTTAATTAAATTAATTTATATTTGTTAAATATATTTAAGATTAATAAAATTATCAACAATGGAAAGAAGTCCGTACAAAAAAAAGGGATCAGACGGATTGAGGGAATACTTTTTTTTTTTTTTTTTTTTTTTTTTTTTTTTTACACTAATAAGAAAAATTTTCAAATTCAATATAGACAATACAAATCAAGAAGAAAGCCACCCAAATTAAACAATTCCACAAAATGTACTATTTTTTTGCCACTAATTTTGCTATATCATTCAGTGCTCTAACTAATTGTCCATTTAAAAATTAATTTTAAAATAAATTGTTAGCTAGCTAAGTTTAAAGACAAAATTTAGAAAAATAATTTACAAGCGGGCGTAATATATTGAGGTAATTGCAAAGCCTAAAAATTGGTTCAATTTCAGTTAAAATTATTCTCTTTTAAATACCTACACAATAAGAAACACGTCGAATTATCTACATTTATCTAATAATCAAAATAAATTAAATTTGTTATTTCAAATAAGATAAAATAAAATAAAAATAAAAAAAATAAAAAAATAAAAAAAACTCTACCAATATCAAGTAAAACAAATGCACAGTATAAAAAAAGGCCGATTTTTAGCAGTCACGTGATCCGAGCGTGCGTGTTCTTGGCACGTGATTAGAGAAGTGTCGTCATGGTTTGAAGTCAAAAGGCGTGTTTGGTCCAAACTCTAAACACGTGACCTCTGCGCCCTAACTTTAACTCCTTTCTGTTTCATCAGATCATATTTTGACAACTTCTTCCAAACTCATAGAAAACTCCTTCTTCCTCCCCTCATTTCCTCATTATTCCAATCCACACCCACAACTAATCAAAATTAGTTAATCAAATTACAAAGACATCCCCAAACTCCCATTTATTTCCTAATGTACATTGAAAATTCAGACCGCCAATAACGACACACTTCAAAACGTCTTTTAACTAAAAACATCGAAATCAAACACAACAAAACTAATCAAACAGTCTTTTTCCGATAAGGAATTGTACGGACAAACATTAGATCACTAAAATCCAATCCACAGACTTCAGTGATCGGAATTTCAAAAGGATAAGAGACTCCGGCCAACTTTCCGGCGACGACGATGACGACGGCAACGGCAGCGTTCACAGATAAACATCACTGATCGTCAAACGTTTCGCCTTTTTTGCGAATTCGCTGCAATGTAGCAACAACATACGACAACATTAGCGACATTCGATTAAACGTTAAAACCATAAAAAAGATACGTCGAAAAACCCGATCGATCGCACCTATACGGCTCGCTGCAGAGTTGCCTGACGGCGCCGGAGGCGTCCCAGTAGAGGAGTTCATTCCACCTCTTGGCCTTTCTGGCGCCGAAAATGTCGGCTAACTTTCGATACAGTTCGACGTACGAACCGAACATCGGCAGATCGAGAGTCACGCGCTGGTCCAACATGTTCACAAAAACGCTGCAGCCGCCCCCGCCGGCGGGGGCCGAATTTTTCGGAGATTCAGACAACGACGAAATCTGCTCCGCGGGGACGATCACCTGACCAAAAAGCATGAACTCGGGCTTCTTCGTTTCCTGACTCGAATTCCCGATCGTTAGCAAGCAAGACACATTTCCGTTCCCGCCTTTGGGAGTCGAGGCGCCGGAAGGTTGTACCGAGGATTTCGCGTATTGAGCATGCCTGGCTCCCTGCATGCCGGCAGGAATCGAATTGCTCGGAATAGACACGAAGGTGTTGCTCGTACCGGGAGCATGGTAGCTCCCGGGAAACATCGGGATTTGGGCGTCGACGGCGGCGAGTTCTTGCGAATATCTCATCCTTTTCCGCGGCGAGTACGGGGCAAGGTGGAAGGACGGGATCGGCGGGAATGCCTTCATCGGTTCGACTTGCCACGGGTTGACGCGCTTCACAATTTGAAGAGGCTCGGGATCTTCCCATCTCACCTGCCATAATCGAGCATCGATTATAAACAATCGAATGTTTCGTAATCGAAAACAAGAAACTGAATGATCGATTGATCGGGAAATCGTTGTACCTCGAGGCGCTTCCACGGCGAATCAGGCCAACGAACGTGGTCGACGGGTTGAACCGCAGTGACACATCCTGCGAACCAACTTGTTCTCACGGAATCGGGAGAGTCCTCCGACTCCAATTCCATTTTGTACCGCATTCCGACAGCCCAATTCACTTGGAGCGATGCGGTCACGAGAGACGCTTTCACGACGAAATCGGGAGTGGTCGATCGCGGATAGTAAACGACGTCGAACGAGTGGCCGTCGACGGCGGCAGCCGCAGCTTGAAGAACATGTTCGCCCTTCACTTTCCCCTTATGGATCAGAGACATGGCGTACATTTTCTCAGCCATCTTCCGATTCTCTTCCCCCATAAGCTCCGGAAATACGTCGAACGATTGCCCGCTTCCATCGCCGGAATTCCACAGCGCTGCTTCCTCGTTAACGGAGCTGGTGGACGACTTCCTCACCCGCTTGATCCCAATGGAAACGACATCGTTCGCCTTTTGCACAAACACGATCGCATCGCCAGCGACGAGGCGTTTCTGGTTCACGAAATTGCTCCACCCCGTCGTCAAGAGATGCCGCCTCGGCGTCCCCCGGTAAATGTGTCTAAAGCTCCACGTCTGACCGTGAATATCCTGCGCGACGAGCGTCTGCACCGGCGGATCCGCCGCGTAGTCCAATGCAGGGAAGATCGTCTCGGCGCAGAACCTCGGCACCGAGAATCCTCCGCCGTTGTTCGCATCGGACTGCGTCAGCGTCTTGATGAACATCATCGGCTTCTCCTGATTCTCCGATTCATTATTTCCGATCCGCACAGCACCGCCGTTGTGGAAATTCAACGACTCCGCCGAAATCGGCGCTAATCGGAGCTTTAAGAATACCTCGTCCGTCGCCTCGTCCGCCTTCAACCACGATCCCAACACATTGCAAGGAATCATCGCCGGAACCCTAGGAACATTCCGGAAATCGACATTCTGGCCTGTATGCTCGGCATGGCCTTGAGGAAGGTAGAACACCTTCGAATCCGGCGCCGGAACTTGAACCAAGGCGCCGGCGCAAGCTCTCCATAGCTGAGCGTCTACAGATTTCTCAGTCTGTTCAGAACTGGCTCTCGACTCCATGAACTCAATCATACTCTTCGAAAACTCAATCCATAAATTATCTCCTCCTCCTACAAACTTCTTCACCAAGAAGAACAGTTTTCCATCAGAATTCGAAGATCAAAAACCACGAAACGTATGAAGATTCAAAGCGTAATATACCAAGCGTCAAATCCAGTTAAAACATTTTGATTATTTGAAATTACTATTGAAACACAGAATTCTCGAACCGTAAAATTCTTCAATTCATCAAAGAAAACAGAAGTAAGAAACAGAGGCGAGAAAGAACAGAATCAATTTCGGCAGCAGAATTGAACGAACAAGCCCCAATCGAAACCCCGTGTTTTCACGAGCACGCAAATTCACAAAAATCCGCGGCAAAAACAAGCAATAATCCAACACCGAATGTAGTTTATCAACAAAATTCCGATCAAAAATTTCGTAAAAAAGACCTGATCGTAAGAATGCAATAGTTGTAGAAGGCGAAAAACAGGGAATCAAAACCTTTTTTTGCTCTCGTTTTCTCCTGTATCTCGCACTAAACCACGTCTCTCGCTCTCTCTCGCTCTCTCTCTCTCTGCTCAACCGCTCCCTTCTCTCTCTCTCTCTCTCTCTCTCTCTCTCTCTCTCTCTCTCTCTCTCTCTGTTGTGTGGAGTCGAAAAGAGTCGCTTTAGTCTCTTATTTTTCGGTCACCTGAAGGTTTTTGTTTCTCTCTTTTCTATTTACTGAAAATATATATATATATATATTATATATATATATATATAGAAATTAAATACATTTTCTTTCGTCGATAATTCATCCTCAAAACATTCGAATAATTATTTAACGAATCATTAGCAAATAATAATAAATACTATAATAATATAGTGTGTTTTTTTCCATCCTAAATTTTTTTAATTAATATTATAAAAATATAATAAATTTATATTTCACATAAAATAGATTCCAAAATAGTATATATTTATGTACAACACAATCCAATACAATATATTATTTTTTTTTTGGATTTTTTTAATACTATATAAATATTGAAATATTCATAATTTTTACAAATTTATCATTTTTTTAAGACTTGTATGAATAAAATATCAAAATTATTTTATATTTTTATTGATTAATAAAATATGAATAAAGTAAAATAATATATTAAGTTGGAACGAATTTATTTTTTTTATTTCAAATAAAAATAATTATTTTTTTGCAAAATAATATACTCTTTCTGTTCCATAACAAAGTATCTATTTTTTTATTTTAGTATGTCCCATAACAAAGTATCTATTTTTTTTTTAGTAACTGTACTATCTATATAACATTACAAATACCTTTACAACTTATAATATATTACACAAATGTCGTTACCTTTATATCACACATATTAATTAGGTTATTTTAATCATTTCTATTTTATTCCTAGTACATCCAAATATAATACTAATATTTTTAAAATTACATGTAAAAAACAAATTGATATTTAATGGAGACGGAGAGAGTATTAAAATATTATTGGAACAAAAACACAAATCACACATCATTTCAAATCACAATTTAACAAACTAATTTTCAGACACTTCTAATATACTCTTTTTGCTATAAAAAATTATGTCGATTTAGTTGAATTACAAAATTTAATAAAAATGAACAAAAAGTGATTATTTTTTACTATAAATAAAACAAAATTATTTTTTGGTAACAAAAAAAAAAATGTTTTTGGATACCAAAAACATTTTTTTTTTTGATTAATTAGGCCCTGGCTGGACTACAATGTGTGGGACCCGCCATAATGGTGTTGTGGTCCATGGAGCTCCAAATATTTCCATTAGGAGTAAAATGGCAATTTAATAATTTAATCATGTGAGTTAATTGAGGCTAGTCAATAGTTGCATGACCAATTTTTAGCAAATGTTCTTTAAATTTTGTTATAAAAAATTCTAACATATATACAATATGGAGTAATTATTTTTTCCAAATGAAAGTAATATATAATAAAATATTTAAAATATATTATATTATAAGTGATTGTTATTACGAAAATAATTTATATAAAATATTTTTTAAAAAAATTATAGTGATTATTCCAAATTTATATTTTTAAAATCCTACCTACAATGTTTATATTATATATATATATATTTTTTTTATTTTTATAATATTGAAAGAAATATTATCAAAAATAAAATTATGGTGGTGACGCGTCGATACATGAGCATGCATGTCAGTGCATAACGTCATATTGTAACGGCGTTATATTACTAATGTACTCGTGTCGAAAACTATCTTACACTGAATAAATTTATTAAATTTTCACACCTATTATTATGTCGTGACCAATTTATTACTAACAAATTCAACGAATATCGACCTACTTTAATTCACGTAGCTGTCGATGTACGCAGTATATTAATTTTTAATGTAATATTATGGACAATATATGAAAAATATTATTGACATATTTTTGAATTGGTTGTTATGTTACATTAAAATTAACAACACAATCATTTTATGAATACTATAAGACACTAATTAAAATATTTTTTCAATTTTTTTTTAATTTGTACTGTATTTTGATATAATAATTAATATTTAAATATCAACACAGCAAAAATTAAATAGAACTCTTAGAGTTGAACATGGGTAGTAATATAGTGTATTTTTTCGTCCTAAATACTTAGGCTATATTTTTTCATTAATATTATAAAAATATAATATATTTATATTTCACATCAAATATATAATATTTTTGATAGCACTATCTTTCATTATAATTGAAATATATTTTTTTTTTATCAATTTCATATGTTTATTGAATGTTTTTTTTATCATAGTAAAATTAATATTGTATAAATATTAAAATATTCATAATTTTTACAAATTTATCTTTTCTTTTTAGACTTGTAAGAATAAAAATATCAACATTATTTTATATTTTTATTGATCAATAAAATACGAACAAAGTAAAATAATATATTAAGTTGAGACTTATTTATATTTTCATTTTAAATAAAAATATATTATTTTCTTAAATAAAATATTAATATATTAAAATAAAAATGAACAAAAGTTATATATTTTTACTAAATAAAACAAAAATATTTTTTAATAAAAAAAAAATTAAGTTTGGATGACAAAAATATTCATTTGTTTATTTATTTATTTTTGTTTAATATATTTTTCGATGATTTTTTTTTAATTAATTAGGTCCCGGCTAGGCTACAATGTGTGGAACCCGCCATAATGGCGTTGTGGTCCATGGAGCTCCAAATATATCCATTACGGGTAAAATAGTAATTTAAAATTTAATCATGTGAGTTAATTGAGGCTAGTCAATAGTTACATGACCAATTTTTAGCAAATGTTCTTTAAATTTCGTTATAAAAACTTATGATAAATAATTTTTTTTTTTCTAATGAAATTAATATATAATTAAATATTTAAAATACATTATATTATAAGTGATTATGATTATGAAAATAAATTATATAAAATATCTTTCAAAAATTAATTGTGATTATTCCAAATTATATTTTTTTAAATCCTACCTACAATGTTTATATTTTTATATATAATTTATTTTTTTAATATTGAAAAAAAATAAATTTTGGTGGCGACGCGTCGATGCTTGAGCATGCATGTCAGTGCATATCGTCATGTTGTAACGGCATTATATTACTATTGTATTCGTGTCGAAAACTATCTTACACTGAATTAATTTATTAAATTTTCATACCTACTATTATGTCGTGATCAATTTATTACCAACAAATTCAACGAATATCGACCCACTTTAATTCACGGAGGTGCCGATGTACTCTATATATTAATTTTTAATGTAATAATATGGACAATGTATGAAAAATATTCTTGGCATATTTTTGAATTGTTTGTTATCTTACATTATAAATATTAGCATTACGCGAACAACACAGTTACTACGAAATATTTTTATAGTTAAAACATGTCATTCAATAACAAAAATAAATTTTGTTGCTAAAAGTAAATTATCTATTACAATGTTAATATCGTCTCTTTTTTTTTTTTTTTGCTAGAAAACTCTATTTTCATAGTAAAGTAATTTTAACTACAAAATTATTTTCATACTAAGACTATTTTGCTAAAAAAATTATGCAGATTTTGTTGTTATAAATTTTAATTTTATTGCAAAAGAGGTTTAGTTACGAATAATTTTAATTTTATAGCAAAAGAGATTTAACTACGAAATTATATTTTCGCACCTATATATATATATATATTTTTAACATTCATTCCTAAAAACTTATCTTTCGTTACAAAAGTCAAATATATCGTCAAAAATCTTTACCAATGCAGTATAGACGACAAAACTCATTTTGTTGCAAAAAATTGTTTTCTATGAATCCTTTACATTTTGCTATGATATTTTTTGTAATTAAATTTCAATTTTTTTATTGTGCATGTGCATATAACACATATATTAATATATATTATAATTTATAATAAAATAATACAAATTATAAATATAGCAAATGAACTAATAATACATAACAATGTTTATATAGAATATTCTATAATTAATTTCAACACATCAGACATTTATATAACATATTTATAAAATATAATAATCAGCACATATTTTCAACTTACACAACATATATTTGTCCATATTGTAATCGTAAAAGTAAATTTTATTATAAGCGGTCAAATAAAGGTAAATAAAAGTAATCATGTTTGTTTGGAAGATTGAATTTTAAATAAATTATTGATTTCATTTTTTCCCTCAAAAATATCAAATCAAACACTTATTTTTTATTTTTTATATTATATTAAAAATCAATTTTACATTCAAAACATCACATCAATATCTATTTATATCACATCATACAACTATTCAAATTCAAAATTTTTACCATTCAAATCTCAACTCAAAATCCAAACCCCCCTGTCGCAAGAGTAAATATTAGCTTCAAGGGGGTGTTTATTTTATGTTATATATATATATATTAAAATAGTTATATGATATGATATAAATAAGTATTGATATGATATTTTAAATGTAATATTAATTTTATGTATAATATAAAAAATAAAAATTAAATAGTAACATTTATTTTTTGCATATAGATTTTTTAATATTAGTATTATATCTGTTTATAGTGGAAAAGACAAAAATGTCTCTATTAGATTATGTGATAAAAAAAAAAGAATGACATTTGTATAATATATTGAAAATTTTAAAGGTATTAATTATGTCAGATAGGTAGTACAATTACTAAATTAGGAAATGATATCATTTTTTAAAATGAACAAAAATAAAAAATGGTACCATTCTTATGAGACGGATGGAGTATTTGATTTGATACTTAAAAAAAAAAATTATATGAATAATAAAAATTCTTCAAAATCATTCAAACAAACACACCGTTAATATCTTAATTTGAAACATGAATTTCATTCAACAAAATATATTATATTCCCTCCGTCCCGCGACAGATGACCATTTTTCCTTTTTTGTCCGTCCCAATTAAAGATAACATTTTTCTATTTTTAGTAAATTTATTCATCTTAAACATATTTAACAAATATAAATCAATTTAATTAAATTTTTAACCTCTAGGATCTAC